TATCTCTGTCCTCTGCCCTGGGTTTATCTTGCTATTTGGAACCCTTACTCAGAATGCGTATCTGGTATTTTGATTATGAATTGTCACATAAACAGAGTGATTGATTAAAGTAATTTACATAGAAGCATTTGTGGTGTTTCTCAGCAAGGGAAAATACATAGAAGCACATGGCACTTCATTACGTTGCTAAACAATAAATGTCAAGTTAAACCTTTTTAAAAAAAGATGAATGCTGTACTTAAGGAAAGTGCAATTACATTTCTATGGTTTGAAATGTTTTACACACTGTATATATTAGAGGGGCAAATATATTAACACTCCTGTACGCGCAAAGGTGCTGACACATTTCAGATGCTACAAGGCAGGCTTTTGTAACTGCTGCCCGCTTATTGCTTGCAGAAGGAACTCGTCTGCTGTAATGTGCTGTTAATCTGAGCTCATTTACTTGTATGCAGCCGCATTTGCATGCAGACACGTTTCTCAGAACTGATTGAGAACGTGAGGACTAGCGGTCCTGATTTGGTAAATTGTTGCATATAAACAGGATTTGCATTCAAATTAGTGTTTTATATCACAGCCTGATTATGTGACCCATTTTAATAATGTTGAGTGAACGGCAGTAGTAGTTTTCAGCAAGCCACTCCTCTAATTATATGTTTCAATTCTAAATTTAATTAAAAATGTCCTTCCCTGCTTTTTCTCTTCTTTGTTAAAATTTACTAACAGACTTGGAATTTATTCTCCCATTAAATAACGTGTGCACTTCTATAGCAAATAGTTATACCTCCAGGTTACATTCAATAGTTTGTTTAATAAAAGACTGTCATACTGCTTCTGTGTTCCCCTGGGAAGGGTAATGGAGGAGCAGCTGAACTCCACAGTGTTCATCATGCCCTTCTTGCAGAACAGAAGAGAATAAGAAGTCTACAGGGAGACATGAGACGAGGTGCAGAGCTCCCCAACCTGTGTGTGAGCAAATCAGTATGTCTAGAGGACGTTTCTTACTGCTGTGCAAAAACACTAGGTCAGTACATTTCAGCAATTATAGCTGCGCTCTTGTGATGCAGCTCTCCTCACCCGAAATTACAAATGAAGGAGAAGAGAATAAACTTGTGAGGATAACTAACTGTGCAACTACATTCAAAATAAATAACAAGGTTAGTTTTAACGAGGAGTGATTTTTTTTTTCTGGTCTAGTCTGCCATCTGACTTCCACTACTTCGATGCTACAGCAGTGGCCAGAGAGGTGTGTGGAGAGGAGTTCTCACATACGTTCAGCGCTTGTACAACTAGACGTCTTCAGTGCTGCCTGTTCTGAACTGGTGTGGCAAGAGCCTGTCTTCCTCCTGCTCGGCACAGCAGCAGTGCAGCCTCTCCATAGCTGCTGTGGAGGTGTAGCTTCTCCCATTTTTCTGTGGCCAGATTTACCAGAGCACAATTAATTTGATAAAGACAGCTGATTTCTTTTTTCCAATCCATGAATTTGAAGAAAATATGTGAAGTAAGGTGGCTTCAGTGCCATGAATTAAGTAAAATGTTAAGATTTAATTGCACTATCTGTTAACAGAGTATTTTTCCTGTTGCCTAGCAATGAGATCCACCATGTGCTTAAGATTCTGTTCTTAACTTCTCTTTTCAGAGCTTGATAACTTTAATAGAAATCAATACTCACAGAACAATCCAGAAGGTGCACGTTGGAAGTTCTTTCTGTTGTTACGGGATCACTTACTGAGGAAGCTGGAGGCAGAAAGCTCTGGTGCCCTCTGATTTCTGTACTCATTCTTTCATTCTAGTGTACATGGTGAATTTTGAAAGAAACTTCTTAAGCAGCAGTTGTTTTGCGTGGTTTTGAAGCAAATAAGCTATTTCTAAAAGTCATCTTTTAAAGTAAAAGTTCTGTGTGGAGACATTTTTATCAAGGCAGCAACCTGTGCTTAAAAGAGCAGCAGCTGCATTGTGCTTCCCCACAAAACTGAACTCCAAGGAAAGGGTTTGAGCACTGGGGTTTGAGGTCTTCTCCAATACTATTCCACATAGTAGTGGAATAGATCTAGATTTTTTCTCTGGACCAACTGTAAGGCTTGCTAGGTAGGAGAATCACATGGAGCTTGATAAAGGAGACTAGTCCTTGAAGAGACTGGAGGAGAAGAACCTCGGGTAAGAGTGAAAAGGAAAACTGCAGGACAGGCCTAGAAAGTCACTTTATTCCACAAGAGGAACTAGCTTAAAATTAGGGCCAGCAACATATGCAAAACCAAGACACTTTTTACCTATGTAAGAAGGGAAAAACACAGTGTATTTATTTTTTTCATTCCAGTTGTCTCTGAAAAGAGTGGGATTTGAATTATCTTATACTACGCCAAGAGGCAGTGCTGTACCTAAAAGGACAGGAATTTGAGCTCATGGAGAAAAGGGCTGAAAACTACTCCATATCCAAGTTTTTTTCAAGAACTAAGTGTCCTGGGTTTATCGTGAGTGGCCGGCCCAGCCCTAACCCATGACACCAAGGGATTTTGGCAGACAAATTGATTGGAAACTGTCATAATGATAGTAGTGTGATGCCACTCATAGATGTGTTTCCCGACTGCATCTTCCTACAAGGCAGAAAGCAAAAAAACCAGTTTATTCATAGTTTCTGTAGAGAATATGATTATTGGACTTGTAATTTTGGACTTAATAAAAGATGCCAGGACAAGTCTTTATGAATACATGAGGGAAGGAAAGGTATTTTGAGTTAATACTTTTTTAAAAGTGAACCTCTCTATATACCTTAATGTTTCAAAATGTTTGTGATTATTCTGAAAGACTTGATTTTGCATTTTGAGATATATACACTTAATTATTTGTAGAGGATCTGGTTTTAGTTGCAAATTTGTAAGCAACTTGACTTTACTCATGTTTTAAACTAATGCTGCTTTTTAACTTCTGTATAATTTCAATTTGTCACCTTTATAATGTTTAGTTTTTAGTTAAGAAACACAAAAATTTAAAGCTCATGCCTTTAAGCAAGCAAAGTAATTTTCACTGGAAAAGGAAGCATTCATCAGCACTGGCACTTCTTTTGCTTTATAAGTAAGCAAGATTAGTAAAGGAAAAACTAAAGCAGATAAACTATTTTCTCCACCCTGTGCTTATGTTTCGAGACATACTTTTTTGCACATATATGTAATTTTTCTTTGAGGTTATATTAATGTGATTGTGAATGCTATTTATTTTAGAAATCTGCTAGGTATATGTAATTTTTGTTGACAAAGTATAGGTACTATAATATAAATATTATAGGTAATATAGATCAGTATTAAATGTGGAAAAGCGCAGTGTTTGCTGTGGTTACCATAAGCGGCATTTCCTGTTTAGCAAGTGTCTTAGGTACCAGTTAGTGCTCCCGCAGCCTTTACAGAAAATAAGGGAAGGGAGGTGTGCCTGAGAGTCCCTAACGTAGACATCTTAAGTAGAGATCCAATTTGCAACTAACCTTCCCCATTCCCCTTCTCCCTTAAGTGAAATCTTCTGAAATCTTCCATCTCCATCAATCTGCTTTGAAAAATTCCATTTCTCACTGGAGTGCTATGTTGGATTAGTTGTCTGGATTTCACATCGCTTGTGCTTCCCCAGATCATCGTCTGTACAAGAAGTGAATGAAAATGAATGAGTGTTCCCCTGACAGGCTCTAACACTCCAGGACAATAACCCGGGGGCTGGCAAAACGTCAGTTGGTTTTGCTGTTAAAACGACACTAAGGGAATGCGTAAAATGAAAGAGAAAGTAAAAATCCTGCTCTTTGGCATTTTCCTGTATTAAAGGAAAATCTTACATATTTTGTATAAATAGGAAACATACCATATAATCGCGTTATATCTGCGTGGAGAGAAGCGCGAGGCGGAGATATTTATTTCCAGGTCTTTATTTTTAATGTGGTTGTGATTTCTAGAGCTTATGTATTGCAGAGACAAAAGACTTCCTACATTATTGCTGGCTAGTAAAAGTGCACTGTGCTAACCTGCACCACATCAGAATTGAATTGAGGATCTCCTGAAGCTTAGTTAAACCGTTGGGAAATGTTTAGCTGAAGTATGGCTTGGCTTTACATTTTAGAGAGTAAGCTTAGGACCATTTCTGTTCTCCTGAAGAGAACAGTTATTACAGTATACAGTGCTCTAGAGTTATTTGACTGTCCTGGAATCTGTCTTAGTAAAGAACATAAATCACCACAGTGTTCTCATCTTTGAGCCTAATATCTTTAATCATCGCTCTCATTCAATGCATAGCAACCAGTAAACTTTTTTCTTATTGTGTGATGTCTCATGTACATTGTAACTTTGGTGATTTTCGTTTAACAAATGTGAGGTTTTTTCCCCCCTCCCAACAGCTCTTTTTCCTAGAAAAAAAAATCAGTAATGATAGCTCTAACTTTGCAGCAAACCAGAAAAAAATACTGAAGAACTATATGTAGATTCAAAAAAGTGATAAGAAGCAAGAAAAATGGATTTGAAATTAATGGAAACAATTCCTAAGCCGCATTTGTGTCACAAAACCCGTAATTTTAGGTGTGGTTTTACCTAATACTTGCTTCTGAACTGTGATTAAGCATATGCAGAGTGAAAGTCTTAAGTTGTTGCTACTCTTTTTGGGGGAAAGAATTCAATAAGGATTATGCTCCTGAAGTTAATAATGAAGTTGTGTTCTTAGTTTTGAGTGAACAGCCAAGATTGCATCTCTTAGAACAATAGTGACTTGTTCCTGAGAATTTATAGAATGTCTTAGGTTGGAAAGGACCTTAGAAATCATCTAATCCAACCTCCCTGCCGTGGGCAGGGGTACTGAAAATGTGACTGTATTGAAAATACGCCTAAAAGGGCATCTTACTGTCATTCCTTTGAGGTGTCCTTGGTTCACTTATTTTACATTGTAGGGAATAAGGACTGCCGTAAAGTATAAAGCACTCTAAATAAAAACATTTCAAAAGTCAACATACTTTTATTTTTGTCTTCTAGGTCGATTGGGGTCATCTGGACTATTTAGTAATTGACATGCCACCTGGGACTGGAGATGTACAGCTCTCAGTCTCACAGAATATTCCGATTGCAGGTACGTGTATTGCTTCACTGTTTTGGGAGATTTGGAGTTAGCTGAATCTAGTAGCTGTAGAAAAATCGTACTTTAAAATGCTGATCAAAAATTCCTTTAGTTGTCTTTCTAACACACTAGGAAACTGTTGGTCGTGTGGTGACGAAGAACATTATCAGTGATTAACACATTAGAGTCATGATTGTGTAATTTTCTTTTAAGCTAAATTTCAGAAGGTCAAGAAGTCAAGTAGGACTTCTTGGAGGAAAGGCAATCATGCCAAAAACTGGTGAGGTTAGTAGTAGAAAATATTTTCTTTGTCTGTACCTAATGCATAGTAAAACTAATACAATGAAATAATTTGTCTTCATGATTGTTTTTTTATTAGAAGCTGACAACGCTGTTAACGCACATTTATTCAGATAAACTATGCAGTACTGTAATACACTAAGGCATTCTTTTTCCTCGTGTAATGAATTTGACTTTTTGCAGGGGATTTAGACTTCGACAAATCAATCTTGAGATACGCAGGCTGCCCTCTAATCTCATTGGCTTAAGCAGGAGTTAGAAATGCTGTTCCTGAAGAAAGCTGAGCGTCTCATGAAATCTGATAGACTGTAATGGTTTGTTACCCGTCTGACACACTTCAGCAGAAGCAGTTGTGAATAGCTGACATAATCAATTTTAGGAACTCCATGGTAAAAGAGACAAAGCAATCCTTATGGGTCCAGGAATATTTTAATAATTGCTGTGGCTCTTCACCAGGAGGGTAGTATAGTGCCGAAATATGGTACCCAGATCATCCATGGGATCTCCGTCCTTGGCAGTTGTCCAGATTGTACTAGACGAAGCCCTGGCTGACCCTATCTAGTGTTACCAGTAGGTGACTTCTAGAAACCTTTTCCTACCAGAAATTCTGTGATTCTGAGTTACTAGGAAACCGATGGGAGTGCTAACTCCAGTTTTTGGTGTTATCAGGTAAATATGTTCATACAGACATCTATTACTGATGTCATTCTTTTCTGAGTGCAGACTGTCTCATGTGCATAGGCAGGCCCTGATTCCCTCCAGTTAACGTCCGTATAGTTGTCGGAAACCTGTGGTTCTCATGCTTGTTGAATCAGGTTCTGAGGCAAGTCAAAGTAGGCGAGATATTCATTATAGAAAAGGAAAACAGGTTTAAAACAACAAGGAATGCAAATTATCTTGATATGCCATAAAAGGGGAAAAATTCTTATGCATGTCTTTAAACTTGTCATTATGGCTTTCTGGAATTTTCTGGAATATTTTTTAACTTTTATTTGTACAAGTATTGGCTTTTGCAATTTTATAACTGAAGACTATTTTGATTTGAATTCTGAAATGGCTTCACATTGTTAACACAATTGCTAGTTCAGCTTATAACTTTGTCAATCCAAACTTCATAAAATTAGGAAGGATAGCATTATTTTACATTTGTCTGTGTTATTAGCTGGTTTTGTTGAGCATGTTGAGGTCAACTCTCGCAGTGTAAAAAAGCGTGCTGTTGTCCTAGTTTAAGCTTCAGTGATTTTACTTCTCAGCTCAGTCTCTTCTAAGAAGCTGTAAGGTTTTGCAGGCAGTGCCTGCTACTAGAAGTGGTAAAGCCTGGTGTTTATAGTTACTACCAAGGACTGGCCTGCAGAAAGGCTCTGGCTGGTACTTGCTCCAGCAGTGACCAAGGTCACTGCTGGCTCTTGTGTGCCACGCTGGGGGTGCTGGGAAGTAAAAGGGATCACAAGGCAGTAAAAGGCTGCACCTCTAGTGAGGAGCAGGCAGGGCAGGTGACCAACAAGAGTGTTCCATCCCATATCTGCCATATTCAGTATAAAGCTGAGGGATCACAGGGATTAAGCCCTCTTCTTCAGTGTCTGAGGAGGACTCCATCTATTCTTCTGTCTTTAATCCTGATCCTGAGTTCCCAAATCCAGCTCCCCTCTGCTGCTGAGCATGGGACTTCTTTGGTGCCGCCTACTTTGCAGCATCAGTGGGGATTGCTATCAGGGGGCAGTCAGGTGTGATACCGGTTTTGTTCATATTTGTATGTATATATCACTATTGTCATTATCTCCTTATTAGTGCTCCTGTTGGTTTATTAAAGCCAGTAAGTCTCTCTACCTCATTCCCTTTCCCTTCCCGTTGGGGCAGAGAGAAGAGTTAGCGTCTGTCAGCGTTCAGTGGCTGGCCCAGCCCTAATCCTTGGCAGTTGTGCTCTCATGAAGACAAGCACAGCAGACAAGGAGTGACAAGATTTGTAATTTCTTGTGTTCTTACTGGCTCAATGAATTTTAGTGATTTAGTGTGTATTGTGGATATATTTCATTCAGATTGGAAGGGCTGCTTTTTGTGTATTAGAGCTTGAACTGTGCTTTCGTCTTTTCTTACTTGTTTTTTCTCTTTGACAGTCTGTAGCCTCCTTTAGCATGCTTTTATTTTCTTCAACCTTGTTCCTTTGAAGGATATGGAAGATAAGTGTTACAAATCTCGAAGATGATGTCTTTGGAGCGGTTTGCAGAATTCTGTAGTTTTTGTGGGCTCCATCTTCATTTGCAATTCATATTTCTAAGTAGTGTGTTGTCTTTTATTTTTTTGCAGAAAACATTTGGTGTTGTGCCATTCTGTTCCCTCTCCGGTTTTCTTGTTCTTTCTTTATCCTTTGAGGATATTTGGACAGTCATGATACTAGTGGCATAATTTCTCTCATTTTCCGTAGAGACGGCATATATATGTTATTTAAGTACATTTAGAAGTGCATTATCTAGTTTGCATGAAAGTTGTAGTTTGATTTGCATGCATGCATATGTGAGATATAGTATTTGCATTATGGATTCTTCATTATTTATCTGTGGCTTTCTAGGGATAGACAGTGTATAAAATATTTATTCTGTCTCTGAATAAACATACAGAACCTGCGCACATGTATTTGCCAGGCACTTAAGGTTTTTGGTGAGTGTGACAAAGAGCACTATTAAAGGTGTTTTGGTTTGAGTGGCTTTGCCCAGATGAGGCATGAAAAACGGTAGCATTGCAACTTTTGACATTGAGAGAGGGAACTGATAGGATGTGTGAAGTAGTATTGTCGGGTTTTATTTTTTCATTTTTATTCTGCATCACAGGTACCATAGAGCAATACCTTATGGGTAAAAGCAACACAACAAAATATGCCTTATAGTTCTTCCAGTTGTCATTAAAGACAATATCAGCCTAACATAACTTCAGCTGCAGTGACAGTTTTGTGTGAGTACTTTTCCGTCTTTAAAAGAAGATGAAAAAGGAAAATGCTGTGGCTTTTGTTTTTTATTTTATTATTCTTAGCCACCTTACAGGGAGTTGCATCTTATTTAGCATGTTCTTTAATCATCTGTGACTTTTCTTGCATTGCAGTCATTCTTCAAAAAAGCAGTAGATGAGAAATTGTGTGATAGCTTGAAAATGTGATAAATTTCTGCTTGACCACTACTTCTTTCTTCACATGGAAATCTACTTTCAAAATAGAAATCCATGGCCAGAGTGGAGAAGAAGGCTTTGTTTGTGGTCTGCTGTTAGTTATTTTGTATTTAGTTCTACTTCTTTACTTCTACTTTCTTCTTCTGTTTAATCTTTTGCATGAGCTATCCAGGAGCGGATTCTTTACCATGTATTGTCCCTGCATGCTAGAGAAAGTTGGAAGCATCCGTACATCTTTTCCAGCTTGTAAAAGTAGGGGGGTTCAGATGACCTTATGGTGTTTGATATCAAGGTATAGTGTAAACTAATGATAGTATGAAGAATAAGACTTGTGTTTGATTTTCATTACCTAGTTGCTAAATTGAGAAATCTAAGTGTGTGTATTTGTTTGATTAGATAAGAAAGCCCCATAAATCAAATTAAGAAATACTGGAGATGGAGGATTAGTATCCAAAGACTGGGAGAGAAGTTTATCGTTGTCTCTCTTTAGAGTGGAAAGGCCGTGTGGGCAACAGCGAGGGTTTGAGAGGCCGTCCGAGAGCCCTGCACAGGGGTTTCTTCCTTGTGGAGAAGCTGCATTGTTGGGACTGACTGTTAAATACTATTAGACTGTCTACTGCCCTTCCTTTGTTAATGTAAAAGTGAATTCTGCAGCAGTGAACTGACAGCTTGACAGCTCCAGAGACTGACACTGTCTTAATTGACAGAATTGACTCCAGGTTAATACTGAAATTGTTTCTTTTGCTGAACTTTGTCATATCTCTCTTTTCTTTGGATATCAAGATGCCATGGCAGCGAAACCCATTAGAAATGTACACCTGTCCAGTGGGAAGCAGACTGAGACAACAAAATAATATTATATCTTGTTGAACAATGTTGTAATAATTACAAGAAAGCATTGGACTAAACTATGCTTATGCAGGAGACCTAAAGGTAAAATACTTTGTGTTTTATTTCAGTGCTCTTAATTTTTCCACGTTTTGGAAGTAATGTATTTCTGTTTGTTTCTTTTTTTTTTTCACTCAAACTTCTATTATTATAGTCTTTCAGTAGTAAGCTCTAAAAAGGCCATTAATAGGAATCAGAAAACACAATTAGTCAAGATAAGCGAGGTAAAAAGCAATGTGAATGCTATTTTATGTTTTTCTCAAGTTCTATAAAAGTGGAAGCATTACCATTGCTAGTCATAAAGGGAATGACTTTCATCACCTTTTGGATTTAAAATCAACATAGCACAGAGTTCCTGCTATCTTTTTATTGTCTTATCCTTTAAATGGTGTAGTTTTTCCTAATGATTGCATCTTTCAGCAATATGTAGATCTTAATTATGCCCTAAATGCCTTTTTCAGGTAAGGCTGAAATATTTACAAAAGGAGTTTTTATTACTTCAAATAATTGTAATTAATAGGTTTTCTTCTGAGAGCAGTTTTGATTGATAGGTTTAAATAAAAAGTATATTTCCGTCTTTAAAGTATTAAAGGTCGTCTTTCTATTCAACTATGTAGACTGAGGAAGAAAGAGTGGAGGGTTGACATCAGCTTGAAGACATTTGGCAT